GGGGGGGGGGGGTGCGTGTGTGTACATTTGGGCTGCTGCTTTTTAATAAAGCGATTTGTAGTGGTTAATCCCATGCCTCCCATAATAGAAAGGTTGAACTTAAGTTCCCTTCGTGGCCTCCAAACCCTCCAATACTCTGCAGCTTCCTGCAGGGCCCCCATGAAGATAGCTAGGACTGTGTCTTAGATGACGTTCAGTCCTAGTGTCCTGCAGGGCCCTACGGATGGAGGCTGATTCAGGTAGTGGGACAATTACAGCGAGCAGAGTGCACTCAAGGATGAGACTGTCTCCTACGGATGGGCTTAAAGAACTTTCTCAGATGAGCTGATGGCTAGCCTGTGTTCAGAGTTTTATTTCCAACTTGTAGCAAGGGAATCGAACTTCTGATAAAGCCAGTTTGAAGATTTTTCTGGAGTTTTGTTTGTTTTTAGTTTTAAGTAGAGAGGAAAGAGCGGCTAGACCAGTGCAACTCAAACTTCAATGTGTATATGGATTACTTGCTTGAGAGAGAAATTGTGAAATCAGCCCTACTGGCTTCCAATCCCTGCTTTGCCCTTTTCCAGCTCTATGACCCCCATCATTTACTTAACCTCTCCCCTGCCTTTGCACCTGTAAATCACACCAACCTCTCAGGAACCTTGCGTAAACTGACAATAATAATAGCTCCCAATCACTGAATCCTACGTAGTAGGCACCATACGAAGCTCTCGATGTCAAAATCCATCTCATTTAACCCTCCCAGCAGCCCTTTGAAGCAAGAACTAATATTTTCCCTACTGGAGGATGAAGAGGTTGTGGTCCAGAGAGAGGCAGGGTAGAGACGCCATCCAGAGGCTGCTCCCCAAGCCCTACCACTGCAGACACCTGCCCTCAAGTCTGAAGGCGCTTGGGAGTGAAACCCGGGCTGCTTCACTCCCGTCCCTTTGGTCTGTCTCAGCCAAGCCCTGCTGAGCGTATCCCATCGCCCAAGGGAGCATTTTTCATTCATCAGCTCACACACAGACTCCGTACAGAGAACATATGTCCCTTAAAAATAAAGGCCCACCCCCATGCATTGGCTAAGAGGACGCTGCACTGGGGAGAGGAAACTTTCCATTTTCGAATCCGCCTTTCCCTCCGCTTGCCTGATGCAGTTAATTATCTTACTCCCTACCCTTCCTCCTGCCATGGTAGCCAGGGGAGTTTTCCATCAGGGGAAGCAGTGCCGCGCAAGACGCAAGCGAGTGGATTTAAAGGCAAAAACCGCTCTTCCCTGCAAATAGCTCCCTTCACACAAATAGCCCGGTAATCAGCAATAACGATGAAGAAAATGTAGGGAACATACAAGGGAATTAAATGGGCATTTGCTAAAATAGTAAGCATTTTTAAATCGGTCTCCTGCAGCCTGAAGTTCCCAGAATAGAGTCGTGTGTGTGGCATGAGGGTCCAGACCTTCCCCGCAACTCTATTCACCTCTCACCCAGGACTTTCCAGAAGTCTGGCAGCTGGGAGTCTGGCTGCCTTGGTTCAAAAGGGGCTGCAATTCCACCAAAAAACTTGCTAGATTTCTTCAAATTGGCCAACACTGACAACCACCACCC